CATCATGTTATCATCAATACATAAAGTCATACGATAGTATATATAAACTATCCTATCAAAATAATAACGTCGCCCAAATCCCGAGTGTTACTACTACCAGAGCAGAGCGACTCAAAATAAAGAGACTCGAGCTAATCCTCATCATCCTCGCGGATCACCTGCACGTTACCAATATAAAGGCAACAACGAAACAAGTAAAGGGTGAGATACTCCAAAACATATAATTAATGACATGATAAAATATATAAATAGTTTTGGAATCATAAATGATATAGGTTAATAAGAATATGTCAACAAATATCAAATCTCACATACTTTAAAATCATCATTTAGTGTATAAGATCAATACTTTAATATCATCACATAATCACCATAATCATGTCAAAACAAGACATAAACTCCATTGCCATAAACTCATATCGTCGCTTTACCGTCATGTTATATCCATCGCATAATTTTCATGAAATTATCACATCATAATTACTTTATGTTCAACACAAAAATCGTCACAAAACAAGGTATTATATAACATCGCAATTCATTATAAGCCATCAAATAAAACTCAATGCCAAAAGACTCAAAAATAAATATAATCGACTCCATGAGACACGACTATGTTATGCATGTGGTACCCGTCGCTTTGTCCATAACTAGGGACATTCGGCATAAAAGCCCATCGTCGCTTTGGCATAAAAGCCCTCGTCGCTTGGCATAAAAGCCCTCGTCGCCAATGCAATGTATGTGACTCGACAACACGACATCACAAATACGACACAATAAAACATCATCATCGCACATCAAAATTGGTATAAAACCCACGTCGCCATATTCATCCACATCGAGATAAACATATCATCGCATCGCATATCATCAAGTATTCATTATAAATAAACCGTCGCAAATATCATATTTAATCACACCACATCATTATCAAATAATTCACTAAATTTCAAACACGGAAAAATAGTCAAACATCAATAATCGTCGCAAAAGTCATTCACAATAATCAGCATCAATTATAAACATTAACGTCGCAATCAGATTGTCCATACGCGACTTAAACCGACTAAAATGCAACCCGGTTCAACTTAACCGTAAATTGACTTATTTCGGGTCGCTCCATTAAAAACTCATAATTTCGAAAAACTAACCTCACCACGACGTTCTACACGTCAAAATTAGCTAGCACGTCAATTTTTGTTAAATTCGGAGCAACTTGCTCCGTTGCCGAAATTACCGAAATCAGAACATAATCGAGTTCCAAATTAAATCGGCTAACTTATGTCATATTTATATTTAATTAATATAAATATTAAATATATTAAAATAAGAAAAGAAAAACAAAACATAAATTAAAATTTCTAAACTTACTTTTCCATTTCTTATACTGCTACTTTTCGTTTCTAACTTCATTTAATAAACACTGCTAGTTTTTTGTTTTAACTTCATTTCTATTACACATGCTTAGTTTATAAGCTGAAAAACAATTTCAATGTTGCTAGCACATACTGCTAGTTTAGTTAGAAGTTTCATTTTATGATATACTGCTAGCATAGTTATGATATACTGCTATGCTTATTTTCTAATCTCCATTTAATAAATATACTGCTATTTACGTTTTGTTCTTTTCTTGTAAACTTCATTCTACTGCTAGCTTAGTTTATAGGCTATACTTAAATGAACATGCTGCTAAACTGCATTCTAAATTTCTAAACTTCACTTAATTGAATATACTACTACTACTTTACTTTAGTTTTTCTTGATTCAATTTCTATTAACATAACAATAATTCCACAACACTAACACCTAAATTAATTCTCCTAATTTATCTCAACAAATCTCAAGAACCCTAACATCAATTTTATCCCAAATCAAAATATACCAAATCAAACCCTAACTATAAGCATTGGAAAATCAAACCCCTTGCCTTAAATACTTGAAATGATTCTTGATGATTTCAACCAACCCAAAACTCAAGCTAGCTCTTGTGTTCTTGCTCCTCTTCTTCTCTTCTCCAAGACCTCTAGCTCTCTCTATGCCTCTAAGTGTATTTTTATGTGTTATGTCAAAACAAGTAGTGTTGTGTTTGGTTTTGGTCTTGCAAGACACAAGCTAGCAAAATACCCAAAAGCCCTTCTTGTAAAATATACTACTAATTAACACTAAATAATATTATTAACCCAAATAATTAAAATAACTCTAAATAATTAAATATTGGTCCGAATAATATTTTACCGAACTGAATGGAATAAAAACCGGACCGAACAAAATAATTACCGGTCCCCCAAAATAAATACCGGACCGAACAAAATAATTATGGTCCCTCAAAATAAATACCGGACCGAATAAAATAATTACCGGTCCCTCAAAATAAATACCGGACTGAATAAAATAATTACCGGTCCCTCAAAATAAATACCGGACCGAATAAAATAATTATCGGTCCGAATAAAACGTCGCCGAATATATTAACAGATATAACGGTTAATTTAAATATTCTCGTCGCAAAAATAAACGTCAAACGGTAACTCGAAAAATATTAATATAATATAATTTTAAATAAAACGGGGCGTTACACAATCACTTTCACAATTTGCTTTGTTGCAGTATCATAAGCCGTTTTACAAGACAAAATGTGTTGAGCAGTATCAATCAGTCTCAGAAAGTTATCGTCACGAACCTCCTTATTTCTCCAATTCCATATGACATGACATGTTATTGCTCAAATACTAGTCCACCGTTGCTTCTTCTTTTCCCCTCCTTAATGCTCAGATTTATCTAGTCCTTGATACCTAAAGAGAAAAACTCCACCATTAAATTACTAGGGAGAACATCCTTCCAAGTTTGTATGCTTTTAGGGCAGTCTCTAAAAACATGAATAATGGATTCATTCACATTTCCCCACAGCTCTCACTCTGCATTAGCAAGAACTTTCAGAATTTTTCTAAGATTTCTAAGAAACCTATCATGATTGACCATCCAAAGGAAACTTCTGCATCGCTCTATAGCAAATACTTTCCAAATGTCGTTCAAAATTTCACCTTCCATATTGTACTCAAAACCATCATAATTGTTAAACATCTCCTTCAAAGAGAAGCGTCAATCACCTGTACCTACAACAAAGAAACTGTCAGCTTCATGTCCTGGGAATGGTGGAAGACACGACCGAAGTTTGCTTAGCCAGTCCTGCGGCAATCAAAGATTAAGAATACTCCAATTCCAATCTCCATTCCCATCAACCATGTCACACACTTTAGCTCTTATTAAATCATTTGGAATGATAGCCTTCAAACTGTTCAGACAAAGATCTTACCCTAGCCAATTGTCGGTCCATGCATTAATGGATATACCGTCTCTGACAACCCAACAACCAAATTCCAGCAACTCCAGTATGCTCTTAATTATCTCCTTCCACAAGTTCGAACTTGTGCCACTATACATCAAAGGCATCGTGTTCTTCTATAATTCATATTTATCTCGCATTATGTTGCCCCAGAGATTTGTGGTGTTGCTCATAATTTTCCAACCTAATTTCATGAGGCACACCTAGTTTAAATCCTTCAGATTTCTTAACCCAATTCCTCCAACAATTTTTGGTTTAGTTAAAGTCTCTCATCTTGCTGTGTGTAGCCTTTGACTATCACCAGTATCCCTCAAAATGAACTTTCTCTACATAACATGAATATCCTCAATACATGACTTAGGAAGCATATTAGTCATCAGCGGATAAATCGGGATGACTTCAATCACACTTTTGGCTAGTGAAACTCTATCGATGAAAGATAAATTGTTCCTCTCTTAACTCGAAAGCTTAACAACTATTTGGTCGATTATGTATTGAAAGTCCTTTCTCTTGAGTTTCTTACCACTCAAAGGCACTCCTAGATATTTCTCAAAGTTGTTGGGAACTCTATACAATGAAAGTTGCGTGAGTTTTGTTTGTATTCCCTTAGTTACATTTCTTGAAAATATCACATTAGTTTTCTTCTGGCTAACTTCCTGACCTGACATGCTACAAAACAGATTCAATGTGTCAATAACACACTTCATCTGACTTTTTGTAATTTCCCCAAACAATAACAAATCGTCGGTGAACGTAAGATGAGACATCATAGAATCATGTTCCCCGTCTTAATCGCTTTCCAATTCTTATTTATAACCTCTTGTGCTCTCAATAAATGTGAAAGCTTATCCATACATAATATAAAAATATACAGAGATAACATATCACCTTGGCAAATGCCACGATGAAGACGAAAATAACTATTTCTCATTCTGTTCCAATTAACACTGATTTTCATACTTGACACACCATGCATAATTAGATTAATCATTTTTTAGGAAGATTAATCTCAACCAAGGTAATGCCAAATGAAATTCCACCTTAACTTATAGTAAGCTTTCGAGAAATCGACTTTAACAGTAAAATACCCTTTCTTCTCCTTGGCCTTATCCATGATATGCATAACTTCCTTTGCCACAATAATGTTCTCATTAATGGTTCTTCCCAATACAAAACTAGTTTGATAAGGTGAAATTAGTTTGTCCATACGCTTCTCAATATTCCCACTATAATCTTAGTCACTATCTTGTAGGTACTATTACACTACGAAATAGGGCGAAACTGCGGCAGCTTACTTGAAAAATCTATATTTTTTTTTAATCTTTAAGATCCTAATAAATTTCATTAAAGAAAAACGTTAACTTTGTGATATTAAATGTATAGTTGACAGTTTGCAAAACATGGGGGATAGTGACGTGGTATCACTAGTCTAACGGCGAAGCAAGCAAGTTGTAAATATTAAGCACCAATAACAAGGTTGCGTCTATGCTTATTTTAATTTTTTAGCCAAAAAAAAAAAAACATTTTATTTAGTTTGTAAGAAGAGCATATAATATATTAGTAGTAACTCTTAACTTACACTTCTTTATCTCTCACTCCATTTTCATTGCAACCACTCTCCTCCCTTTCTCGTTTATCTTCTGTTCTACTGCAATCCATGGCCAATCGCTGGGTCAGGCCTGAGGTGAGTCCTTTTCCATCCATCATATCTCTAATCGTATATTTTGTTCACGTTTTGTAAGAGTTAGGGTTTCACTTTTTTTGTTTGTTTCAGGTATACCCGCTGTTCTTTGCGGTTGGAGCTGCTGTTGGGATCTGTGGGTTTTCTATGGTTCGTCACATGTGCATCAACCCTGAAGTCAGGTATATCTTTCTCCGTTCTACCCGATTTATTGCATGATGGTTATTGATCTTTCAAATTATTGATTTTTCTCTTGTTTCAACTTTGACTTATAGAGATCGGAAATTAATGTTTCCAATTAAGCTTATCACTTTCCGATTTCGATTTTCTTAAAATAAGGGACATTGAAAATTGAATATCCCCTTTCTATTTTTGTATACATATTTGGGTTAAAAATTGAATCTGATTTCTCAGATTTATGAAACTAACCAGCGGTTGAGTTTTACATGGCGACTGTGATTTAGAAGCTGTTGGTTTTACATCGATGACAGCGTTTATACTTTATATGTGCTTGTGCTTGTGCTATAAGATGCAAATAAATTGTTTATCAAAATTTGAGACTAATTGATATTCATATTCCGGAGTTTGTTCTGGTTTGACTTTGACAGAACTCTTGTCTCAGTTTTATGCAGAGATATAGCTCTTCATGTTTGGTTTAGTTTTTGAAGCAGTATAATGGATGTTTTTTTGTTTGTTGTTTTCACGGTTTTAGGGTGAACAAGCAGAGCCGAGCTGCAGGAGTGTTGGAGAACTTTTCAGAGGGAGAGAAGTATACAGAACATTTGTTGAGGAAGTTTTCACGCAACAGGTCACCTGAGATTATGCCTGGCATCAACGGCTTCTTTACTGACCCAAGTCGCAATTAAGTTGCTTTGGATTAATAACAGTGGTTGAATTCTTATGTGACATATGTTGTGTCAAAAACTCGGTATTATTGTCATGCATTTAGAAAACATAATTGTGTTTGATCTCTCTGCCTGAACAGCATGTATGCTGTGGTTGAGAATAAGAATACCCTGTTTGTTGTGTTAATTGTTGCTGAAGTTTTATGAAGTCATGATGCTGTCTAGTGAGTCTGCTTGTTGAAACTGGTGTGAAATAAATTGCAATTGGTAATCCCGGTTCAAGCTTGTTATCATCAGTACAATCTAACAAGACCTGAACCTTTAGAAATGAGATCTCACTTTTAAAGTTTTTCTTTTTCTTTTGAAAGAAATTAACTTTTGCTACTCAACATGTTTGTTTTCTGGCCTCTAGGGAGAGTTATGGAGACCCGCATAGTACATGTGTTATGTGAAGCAAATTGCTGTCCTGGTTCACTTGCAAAAATGAGAATTAACAATAGGATAGGATTGGAGTTCTTAGATAATTGTTCTCAAGAAGTTTATGTTAATTATGTGGAGGATAGACATGGCAAATCCTCTATGAGGATTGTAAATATGCAATTTTGTTTTTGGGCCTCGGCCCTTAATTAAAAAAAGACCTACATTTAACTTTTAACCAAAATTACTTTTTCTCAAACTATTTCATTCATAATCAATTTTGAAGTTGAATCAAACCTAAAAAGATACGCATTGTTAGAAAAAGTGCTTCATTTGAGGTGATTGGCATAAGATTGATGGGGTGGTGTGGGTATTTTGTCTTGCATGTTGATATTGTATTTGAAGACCTTTAAGTTGACATGTATTGGGTAACTATGTATTGTTCTAATGAATTAATCACATCTATCTTTATCAGAACTGTTATGGACTAAGTTGGCAGTTGCTTCATTGTTAGAGAGGCTCAATCCAACGCTTTTACCAAGGCTCAAAAGCATGCAACCTAAACTGAGGATCGTTGGACATTTTTTACGTGTCTACTAGGAACATAGCTCATGTGTCCATATCATCATCATAATGTCCTATGAGAATAACATGTTCAACTCTTGCTTTCTTGAGGTAGTTGATCAGAGAGGAGGCTACGTGCTGGACTCCATACATCCGTAAATCTTGACAGTCTTTGTTGTTGGGCTTCATCGTGGCCCATCATCGAAGACCTCGGCCCAGCGCTAGGGGCTATAAATATCTTCTCATTTGAGAGGGTCAGATATTCATTCACTCACTCATACTCATACTTGCTTGCACTTGCACTGAATCTCACTTTGGTATCAGAGTGTTTTGCAGGTACCCTCCACTTCACATTCAACTGCTGCTCGACTTGAAGCTTGTGGGCTTTGACAATCCCTTCTGATCAGGTACGATCAGTGGCACCGTCAATGGGAATTGACTTCCCCGTCTTCCTCTCAAGACTAAAGAAACTCTTCATTAAACTGTACGATTGTCATGGTTGACCAAGTTGTTGACGATAATCAAAACGCCTATCTCGCCGACCCCAACAACAACAACGTGGGCGACAACAACACCGACAACATGGTCGGTCTCGAACAAGACTACAAAGACAGACTGATCGCCTTTTCGTCCACCCGCTAGCAACCGCACAATGACGACTATCATCTCCTACAAAACTATAAACCCAATCCATATAAGGAGATCCCCGTCCTTGCAGGTGCTGACGCCACGACCAGAGAGCTCTGTTCGCGACAATCAACCAGACCAACTACATGATCTTCTTACAGAGTGAGCGACTGATGATGCTCGAGTAGACTCACCGGGCCCCCAGAAGACACAAGAGACCAGCCACACCTCTTATTCCCCGACGGAACAAGGACCTTCCCCGATCTCCCCCACGGAGACACAAACGAGACGGCTCTCGAAGCCCTTCTCCCAGAAGAATTGGGCGAGGCCTTGCGTTGGAGAGGAGTCAGCCCGAAGCGGCGAGGAAGCGCGGTCAACCCCTCCCCCCCCCCCCCCCCCCCCGCACGCGCGCAGGGAACGACGATCTCCTGAACATAAAAGAAATAGGGGAAATAAAGAAAAACAATCTCGGTCAAGGGATTCTCCTCGTGGCCAAGACCGTCACAACGACTGCCGCTACAACCAGTCCCCCTCTCGTTCTCCAGACACAAGCGACGAAGACGACTCCTGCGGTCCACTATCCCAATCCATCATGGAGGCTCCCATTCCTAAGGGAATAGAGAAACCTCCCTACTGAAGGAGTACGAAGGCATTGTTGATCCTGTCGACCATATCGACGGATTTGAAGCAATGTTCTTGCTAACCGCTTCCTGCGGGCATATCCTTGCGTAGTGCTCTAATACCGAGTTCAAGGACGACGACATCAGACGTCCTCGACCCGCCCCTGTAAAACCCGGGGCAGACAGAACAAAATACTGTCAATACCATCAGAGCCACGGGAACTTGACAGAGGATTGCGTCCATCTCAAGGATGCCATCGAGACTCTCATTAAGGATGGGAGACTCAGGAAGTACAGATGAAATGACGCCCATCGGCAGGATGCCTGTGAGGTAAAAGAAATCGAGGAAGAAACTCGACCATTTGATGAATCGGGTCCCCTCCAAGAGGCTTTCTCCATCACGAGGCCCAAGGACTTCCACGTCCCCGACAATTAAGAAGATAAAGAACCCTTGTCCATACACAGAAGATGGGAGAAATTCCCCTCTGCCATGGTCATATCTGGCGGGGAATTCAACAACATCTCAGTAAATTCGGCGGAGAGGAAACTCGACGAGTTGGTGGACGTAGCTCGAACCCAGGATGTAACCCTTGAAAGGTTTAAGGGAAAGTCTAAGCCGATCACTTTCTACCTGGAAGAGCTATCTGACGGAGCCCTAAACTCAAGCATTCATCTACTAGTGAGGGCGAGGATGGCCAACTTCGACCTACATCACATTCTGGTCGACGAGGGGAGTTCTGTCGACGTCGTGTACAGTCACCTGTTCCATACCCTACAACTCGACGATACCCACATGTGACTATACGTGGGATCCGATATGAAAGGATTCAACATCTCGACCTCCAAGCCTTGGGGCTACGTTAAGCTCTTTGTCACCTTCGGGGATGAAACAGCATGTCGACAAGTCAAGGTGTGGTTTCTGGTGATCGATTGGCCGTCTCTCTACAATTGCATCCTGGGGAGACTAACATTGGCCGAGATGACCGTTGTACCCTCCACGGTCCATTTGAAAATGAAATTCTACACCAGAAGGACTCGCGTCGCCATAATTCATGGGGACATCTCAGCTTCCAGGAGATGTTTTCACGCGGCTTTCAAAGGGCAAAGCATGGTTGACAGTGGAGCACGGCCTGCCATAGCACGAGGGAATTTTATCCCCTATCCCAGTCCTCACGGATCCTCAAGGTTCTTGCGAAGATTCATAAAAATGATTTATTTATTTATTATTTTAAACCAAATTAATAGTAAAAATTTTAAAAACTAACCACAAGAAATATAGAAATGATTCTTTTATGATAAATTTATTATTTTAATAATATTTAATCTATAATATTGATTGTCATGACAACTAAAATTTCAAAAATAAAAAAATTTAAAATAATCATTTAGATCTCATTATTTTACTATTAATATATTTATATTTTAAATTTATTTATAAGATAAATTATATGAAATGACAAACAAACCTACATAGAAATGTAAAAATATATATATAAGTTAAGGAAATTATGGTATTCTAAGTGGAGCAGGGGATATTTACGCCACCCCCATCCCCAAGTGCCTTCGGGGAGACTTTGTTCCATATCCTCGTCTCTACAGGGGGGAAATTCCCCGTCTTTGGGGCCCCAAACAAGGAATCCCCGCGGGATCCTTGCTAACGAAGGAAAGTTGTCATCCCTAGTTAGGTATACACATTACTTGACTTTTTCTTTGTATTTTGATCATATGTATTTTGGTTTGTATTTTGCAAACAATGTATGATTTTCCTTTTGACTTAATATATGATACTTTGATTGAATTACATAATATATGGTTTGATTGAATTATATATGATATTTTTATTCTATTTTGTGATCAATGTATGGTTTGATTGAATTATATAAGGTTTATTAAAATATGTCAGATTTATAACAAAAATACTGCTCAGGGGAAATTTACTGTCTTGAGGGTTAATATGAAAGTTAACTTATGTAATATTCATTGAGTTGTGAAATAAACACATTGTCTTGAATTTAAAATGTGCCTAATAGATTATACCAGAACTTAACCTACATACTCACTCTTCCGTTAATATGGAGGTTAACTTCCGTACTATTCTTGGGCAAAATAAAGTTACTCACTCACTAAATGTTTTGGTGTGTATGAGGGCATTCAGAAGTTAACTTCTATAACATTTCAAGAATATTTTTAGATTTGTTAAGCATGACTCTTCACTATTAAAGATAGAAAGGGCAATCCCCTTCAACTATTTAGAAATCCCAGTTATAATTTATACCATAGTCACAAACCAGTTAGACAATTCATTTTCCCACCTTTGTGGTGTTGAATGCACCTCTGAAAACCCCAAAATACCTTTGAGTTTTTTCCAGAGATTCATCTCCGAATGCACCAAATCCCATTTTTTTGTCAAAATTTAGTTCGGAGATGCAACTGCGAGTTTTTCTGAGTTTAATTCGTAGATACATCTCTGAAATCACCTTTATTCCTTCATAAATTAAGTAGCCGCCCCATATTTGGAAAAATTTGTCTGCAGACGCATCTGTGAATATTTCTGGAGTAAATTTGAAGATAAATCTATGAAATTTTTTCTGCATGTTTCTTGTGTAGAAACGTTGTCTTAAGTTTGTTATTTTTTTAGTTCAAAGTCATGTTAATTTGATTAATATTACCATAATTTGATTCAAAAATTAATAAACACGAATATCATAGAACATAGTAATGCGTTAATTAAAAAAAGATAATCATAGTACAAAAATTATTCTCAAAGTATGGAAAAAATACCAAAACATCTCA